CTGTATTCCATGCTGTGCACTTGATGCCTAGAACTTGCCCCGTGTGTTCGCAAAGCGAAATAGCAGTTTCATTCAGTCTTAGAAGTGATATAGGCATTTCTTTGTTGAGACAGACATATAATATAGACCCACCTAAATGTAATACATCGTAGTCAACCCCGTTGAGCCTATACGCCTGTTTCTTTGGCAACCACATTGCGAACCTTACCCAATTGTTTGAATGGACATCTGTTTGAACCCTTTACTTCCCATAAGCACTTGAATGGTATTGAAATTATGCAAAAGCAAAAGTGTGGGGTGGTGGTTTGGTTTTTGAGTGGAACCGAGGAAATAGAGGAAAGGTGCAGTGTTTGGACAAGTAAAAGAATAAGCGCCACTTAAAAGAAAGAAAAAGAAAAAGAAAAAAAAAAGAAAAAAAAAAGAAAAGAGTTTTTGTTTAGAGCAAATGTATTAGTCGATAAGTGGTGGTTTGTTGCAATTGCACCTAATGGAGTGGGATGTTGTAAATAAAAATGAGGTGGAATATCTGGGTGACATAAGTATGGTTTTGAAAGTTAAAGTAATTGTATTAAAAGTGCTTAGGGAGGTTAGTCACTATATCCAAATATATCCTACCCGTCCCTTAGCCTACATCACAACCAAGTGAAGTCCTAATTGATCTTAGACTGAGTGGACTCGATTAGTAGAGTATTACACTACGGGCAAGCCTATGGTGCATCTTTGTGGCATGTGAATGTTCTTTGTGAGAGTGAGCGAATTTTGTTTATCTATGTTCCTAATTGTTCTTGAAGTTAATATTTGTGGAACTACTCTCTTGTGTGATGTGAGGGCATGTGATTCACGAAGGAAAGGCAAGTCTTGACCTCTGTAAAGGGTAACTTGAGTAAGTATGAATATTGCACGGCACGTGAGAGTCGACTTTTGAGGCAAGGATTGTTCACTACTAGGCGTAATTTTGGTAATTTGTTCTTGGTGTGATACGTTAGGGAAAATCTTAATGAAGGGACCTCTATAGAGTGTAGTGGATTGCTCGAGGACTAGCAATGATTTAAGTGTGGGGTGTTGATAATAGGCTAGATTTATGTAATTTGGTGATTGTTTATGCCCCAACTTGATTATGTTTCATTGTGATAATATAGTTAAATGATGATAAATTGGCTCTAATTGTGAATTTCACACGTTGCAGGAGTCATTGGCATGAATGAGGACTTAAGACTGTAATCGGAGCTAAATTGAAGCGAGAAAAGCCCCTAGAAGCTGAGTACGTGGGAAGACGAGAGAAAGAAGAGCTAAAATAGAGACCTGGACTAGCGCGTCCACTAGCGCGACCGCGCTAGCCCAGTTAGTCGAGGCAGAATGATAGGGCATATGCGCGGTCACTAGCGCGTCCACTAGCGCGACCGTGCTAGCCCAGTTCCGAAAAATTAAACTTCAGGGGTAAATTTGGAAGTTCGGGGGCAAATCCACTTAACCTATAGAAGGTCTAGCTCGCCCAAGAGATGATTATCAAGGTGTTCATAGCTTAGTTCAAGGCAAGGAGAGGCAAGAGGCAAGGAGGATAATTCAACATCGAGTTCTTCCTTTCTGCCTTTTGTGTTTTACAATTAATGATGAAATTGAATATTGTTTTGATGAACACTAGTATGAGTAGCTAAAATATTTAGTCTAAGGTTTTGATGGAACCTATTGAAGGATGAACTTCTTGTTATGTTAATATAGTTTGTCCGGTTTAATCTCTATTTGTTCAACTATGTTCTTACTGTAGTTAATTGATAGGATCCTCAATTAGCTGTGCCTATTTAGTGTGCATAACTCGGGAGAGAGTGCATATTTAGGTCAATTGTTGAACAACACCACTCCCAAAGTATATGAGGGATCAATAACCGAGGGTTTAAAGGCGGGATAAGGGATAACGAAGCCTTGGGTGCAATCTAAAGTGAGCTGTAATAAACAAAGCCAGCTAGCGTAACTCGGGAGAGTGCGTCTAGTAAATTGTCGTGATTACTCGGGAGAGATTTGCGGTAATAAAAGTGCTCATGATTGATAGAGATGATTAGGCAATTCTATGTGAAACATAACCGGAAGGGATTCCATCAATAGAGGAAATCATAACCTTATAACCTTCTCTTAATTGTTTACAACTTAATCATAGTTAGTTTTCAGTTGCTTATTTACATTCATTCGTAGTTAGTAGAAACATCCTCAATTGTTATTCCGAAAGTTTGGGAAGTTGATTACGTAGAATTTCGTAAGTCTAACGAGAGTAATTGATAGGTTAATTCCTTGTGGGTTCTCGACTCTGGGCTAAATACTCAGATTATATTTACAACGTCCGCGTGTCCTTTTTATAAGGCATAGTTGGGCGTGATCACATACCACCCCACCCATAAGGTTGGATCTGCCCCTGGGTGCGACGTTCATAGAAAACTGTATTCCTTCAAATTTAAATATATAGTTCGATCAGAAGACAATGATGAAATGCAACTGACTTGTCAAAAACTGTACTTACAAAATTGTGACTAATCTTTTATGTCTTCTCGCGCGGCTGAAAATAATACTATAAGATCAGTTTTAGATTGAAAGAATCATGGATCAACTTAAATTGATCAAGATTAAAGAAAAAATCGCTTGATATAACAGATTATAGCCCTAATTGTGAAGCCAACAAAGTCGCATTGGGGACGTATATAAATTACAAATAGCTCATTTTCTCAACATGTGTGAAGATCTAACATGTCAAGTTATGGGATTTCTTAAACTTGCCAGAATAAATTGTCCAATTTTTGGGTTTAGACTACTTTAATCTTTGATCATGTAGCGGATAAAAGATATATTAGCTTGAAAATATCAGTTCAATTCTATTTAGAAAAGCTTTAGATTATATCCCAAGAATTTTTTTATTTCGTAATGCTTTGAATTCATCAAAATGATAAAAAAGAGTTTCTTCAGCTAAACTTTCACTTCAGTAAACTGTATAAAAGCAAAGGAAAAAGAATTGGTTCAACTACCAATATCGCTGCAGACCGACGAGAAAAAAAGTAGAAATAATTGGTAGAACTACCAATTATACAGAATTCTCAATTATTGATGAAAATACAGATAAGGCACACAGCAGATTAATCATTGTAGTTACTTAATTAATACTTAATATAATTAATGGGGATTATATTATTATTTAACTGACAGGCATAAATGTCTTGTCTTAGTAAAATGATAAGTTCCATACTGTTGTTTTCAACGTGCCTTAAACAGTTCTGACGAAAACAGCATTGACAAGAATTAACCACTGCCGTTCATGGCAAACTGCTTCATTTCCGATAATTTATTTGACACATTTTGTATTATGAGGTCAAAAATCATCTGATTTTCAATCTGTATTCTAACGCCTTTATGATAAAATTTACGCATTTAAAATTTACATTAAAATATATTAACTCACTGATTTGGTTCATAGTAGCCCAAGTATATCTAGAAGTTTCTTTTACACGCTACGCTATCTTTGGCGACGATATCGTCATCGGAGATGAGCAGGTGGCTAAGCGTTATCACGAGCTAATCCTACCACTAAATGAATCACTACTTTTTAGAGTTAAAATGCTTGAAAAATCGTAGTAAAAATAAATTGTTTAACTTTCCATATATTAATAATGTCATTTTTTTTGGGTGGGAACGGAAGAGGAACTATTTACGTTTGACAACCAGTCATTTAAACTATTTCCATTTTATTTCATGTCCTTTTCCTAATTTTGTTTGGTTTTTCACCCTTATAAGAATTTGATAACAGACCAAAAATAAGCATTAATGTTTATATTAAGGTAGACTGTCTACATCACATCCCTTGAGATGCGGCCTTTCCCCGAACCCTGCGAAAACGCAAAATGCCTTGTGTATCGGGATGCCTTTTTACCGAGAATAATAATTTTGAGTTTCCACTCTATTTCTATGATTGAAAAGTGTGGATTCTTGTTCCAAATTTAAGATCTAATAGAAGGGGAATTCTTTATCTTCTTGTTTTCCTTAAATAGTTATGAAAACGGGTCAAAAGAAAATGAGTCAAAAAGACATTTGTTTCAACAAAGCTGCTGTATGAATGAATTCCTAGGAATAGTTGAATTAGTAAACTCTCACACTTCTACACATGTTTTTGCGTGTGCACACATGCTTATGTGCATGCGTATAAAGTAAACAATTCATTCAAACTTAAACAACAAAGATAAATGCCCCTTCATAGTTTTCATAAGAAAAGAAGTGAAAAACTAGAAGCAAGTACCTAATAGTTTTGTTACCCAAAGATTAGTTTTGTAGTCTTACGCAAGAACCAATGACGAAAGAAAGATTTAACCAAGAAAATTCAATATATATATATAGGAGATTCAACACCTAAAATATATATATAAAAAAAAATTTAACCTTATATATACAGTGTAATTTTCGGCAAACGGGGGTTCAGCTGAATCCTCTCCGGCCCACCTAGCTCTGCCCCTGGCAGGAACACAACTACTACATCTCAACTCCAATCAAATTAGAGTCAACTATATAAATTCGCACTTGTCCATGTTATTCCATTTAAATTGATCTTCGTCCAAAAAAATCTATGATTATAAATTTAAAAAAAGGCACTAGAAATTCTTTATATTTTTTACTAACATATAAACCTTCCGTAGAACTTTTTTTTTTTTTTTTTGGCAAGAGGGGAAACCCGCAGCCACTACAACCTCTGCCACAGCCTCTGTCCTTCAGGTGAGCACTTTGTGCGCACTGGGTAAACCTCCCCCTGTGTAATAGCCTGCAAACCACACAGGGGATGTAAACCGCACTATGAAAGCCCTGTGCGACAGGCTCAACCCAGGGCATTGAGGGGGATTCAATCCCAGGTCATCCATATGGATGACCACCCTCCAAACCAATTCGTAGAACTATTATGAAGGAACAAAAAGTTGGAAATAATAGCATAGAAATCCTCTAACATGGGCCAGAGGTGAAGTGTACAATATATTTAATTTTTTTCCAAATAAAGAAAAGATACAACTTTAAGGCTATAGTACAAATAACAACTCTTGCAAAGACAAAGAACAACTAAAAACACCAAACCTGGTCATTAAATTATTCCCCATCTCATTTTTCTATGTGTAATCTTGTCGTTTTTCTCTATCTCATACACATAAACAGACTCTCAATGTCCTTTTAACTATTATAAGAAGCAAAGCCTGCACAAGATATACTAACATCTTGGCTCATGGATGCTACAATATCAAAGGAAAATGGTGCAAGGTCAAGAAGTTTCCGCAACGAAGACTACAACAACAGAAGAGTTTTCTTGAGGAGCTATCCACTTCACTGGGGAGATTCAGTTGAAGATGGAGAAAACAGAGAAGAAACTGCAACAGAAATGCCAATAAGTAAAGAGAAGACTTGCATGAAGAAGAAATTTATACTAGCAGTTTTCCATTGGAGAGGAGAAAGTGCTTTGATCTTTCGAAGACTCAAGCATAAGGTCACAGTTTACTTCATTACTTGTCTTCCTGTTGGATTCAAAACTCCTACAGCATTGATTTCAGCTTAATATCATTTTATCTATATAAAAAACTGCTCAGTAGTTGAAATTCCATCTACTTTACTAAGCATATATCATGCACAGTTATGTGTTTTCAGTACAACTGAAAGGCATGTACAGAAGAGTGGAAATACAGTAAGATGGATGCTAACTTGAATAGAAATATGTACCTTGGTTTTATAGAATACAAGAGCACTTCTTTCTCCTGTACCTGAACAAGCAAACCTCCCATCTGCGTAAAACTAATCCACCAGTTAAATTAGTTCAAGCTGCCAGAAATAGCTTAAAATCTCAGAAAAGTGCCAAGTTAGTTTTGTATAGCTGTCCATGCAGATGTGATTATTTGATGTGTTTATCAATGATTTCAACAATTATTGGAATGTATAAGTATGCTTCTGTTGGATTGCAGATCAACCATACAACTACTTTGCAATGTTCAACCTACCATTAGCAAGCTGTGCACTAGCAAACTCTGATTCTGTAACTTTGACATTTGTTGCTAGAATAGAAACTGCTTCAACAAGAACAGACTAGTTCATTGCTTTTAAATAGAGTTAAAAACTTTATAACAGAAATCTTATTCACAATAAGAGTTCAGACTAATTGTTTCCATGAACATATATCGGCACTAAAACAATTTTATCTTAAGCCAAGTCTCCAAAATCTGATATACTAAATTGTACCTAGGCTCAGGAGCCTGTCCACAGCCCCCACTGTCACTACCACCTCCCCGGATAAAGAAAATGGAGTTTATATGCCTCTTCCGATCTTGCCATCTCTTCATATCACAGAGGCAACACCACTTTCTGGCACAATATAAGATCGGATAGAGTCTTTCCATGCCTATCGATTCTTCTTGAGCAGTTCACACCTCCATCTAGAATATTACGAACCACAATATTCAAGGAATGGATCCCTCTGACTTCATAAATCTCCACCTTAACATGTTCATGAACCCATTTGTCTCTTCTTTCAATATCATCAGAAGTGGCGAAGGAAGAGGGATTAAGAAGCCTTGCAACAACTTTCTTTACCCATTCTTGAGTAACAATCTTCTTTAGCCTTTCAATATCTGGAGGAAAATATGGGATAAGGGAAAAGTTTAGATCATCCCCTTTATCACCAGCTCTGCTATGTGCGACATCATAGAGAGGAATCTTCCTGTCATGTGGAGCAGGGGACAGCTGAATTTGTGGTGCACCTTCTTTTTTGTTCAAAGCAGTTTCTGTTGGAATAGATCGCAAGACCGAATCATGGAAAGAACTGGTCTGCATTGTGTCCTTAGGAATAGCCATATCATCTGATTGCATTATTTTGTTTCTTGTTGCTGTAATATGCCACTGAACATCTTTACGTTTTACCTGATAGATCATAGAAAACTCTTTAAAATTCAGTGCATACATTAGTTAGCATTTTAGCGTGAAGCAATCATTGAGAATTCAATAAAACAGCACACAGTAGGAACCACCTCACAATAGGAGAGAACTTTTATTCTTGTCTGTTTGAGAGAACTCTTACAAAATTAACTACCAGCAAAGTATACATATCACAACAGAGTAACAGTTTATGAATTGTCATGTCCGTATCATGCACAAACACTCACATGCAAACACACACATACGCACACACAAACACTCACATATAAATGAGATATAGGGAGATGGAGATACCAATGCCTTCTCAAGAATGATCTCTTTTTTGTGTCCAGTGCTGCCGTACATTCAAAGAAGATGAAGAGCATTAATATGTCACATAAATATGTATTTAACATACGGAAGTACTAAATGAGCAAGAGAAGATTTGGGGCAGGAAAATTGAGACACCTATCCATATTAAAATAACGAACTGCATGTCATGAATATATGTTTTGACATAAGCAAGAAGCGGCATTAAGTTCAGCAAGAGATAAACTGGGGAGTAATACTAAGACACGTTTTCACATCAGACGATGACATGTGATCATATAACCTGCAGAAATAATGACTATTTCAAGCCTTTGATCATTGTGACCAAGAAGAGCAAAAACAGTTTTGCATATGGTAAAAACTCAACCATACACAATTATGCAGGTAAGGATTAGAAATACCCAAATTGCTGCTGCATCTAGACGTAGTCTTAAATTTTAGATGCCATTAATGTGAGGGTTGAAATTGGGCGAAGAAACTGATCTAGCAAATGACATGAGACTGGATATTGCAACTTCCAGATTGAAAACAACAGCGCAGATCAAATTGCTCATTAGAGCATATCATACCATGAAGTCCCTTTTCCTGACAAGATGGGTTCTCCAAAATCAAAAAGAAAATTCACTGTGTAAAACTGTAAATCTATCTTATAGGTATCTTTGGATAATAAATTTTCTTAATTTTATAGCTAACTTATACTGTGAAATACTTTCAATTACTTAACTATTGAACAATGAATGTAACAGAAACTATTGAGTCATCTAGAAAATAACTAAAAGCAGTCTTCAATCCAACAATTTTCTGAAGTTCTATGACTCAAAAAATAATATGAACAGAGGATGAAAGAGACCTGATACCGCCACCACCAGCAGGTCCATTTGTATATAATGCTATGAACTCTTTTGTGAAGTGGATTGCTTGTTCCTCCTCCTCAAATAAACCATCCATTCGTAATCTGATATCTTGAATATCCCTAGGCAAGTCTTCATCTATGCTGGCAGCCTTCAGGCTATCCAGTCCAATGATATAGGAAACTAAGTGTTTGTTTGTTCCAGGACATACTTCTTCCATCCATGATCTTACCTGAAAAAATGCAATTAGAAAATCAAAACTGAAAACTCTACACTTCTTAATCTAGCATTCCAGGAGCCAAGAATAAATTTAAGGAAAACCATAATAGCTGTCCCGGAAGGAGAAATAAAGACTTGTTACCAAAAAATCAGCAGCTTTAGCACGTTTAACACACTGATAACCACCATAGGATATCTCTCCCCAGCCTTTCCACCCCTTGTCCTGAAAATGAGGCAGTCGCCAAGTAAGAACAAACAGAAACATCCATCAATCCAGCTGTAATAAACAATTGCCTATAGAAGACACTTGCTGAAGGAGAATGGAAGGAAAATGATACTGAGAGCAGATAGTGATCTTTAAAGTACAAATTCAATGGCTTCTATCTTGTTTTTGTTCATGAGATTAAGGGCGATGGAGCAGATGGCATAAAGAAAACCGGTTACAGTTATATCTTTGGGCTCTTACGATTATGACCACCCAGATTCAAAACAAAATACGGACGAGTGGGACAAGGCAAGTGCAATGGGGTGTTGAACTTATGAAAAGCATAGGTTATATTAACCAAAATGTTGCGTTAGGGACCACATGACAACAGAGAGGAAGAAATCCTTCCACTTTCTCTCTATGTTGCATATGAACACAGAGATTACCTTGGAGGCCAGCAGCAACAGTTTATTAGGAGCTGATGCAGATGGCTTTGCCCCAGCACAGAGGACTTTACTGCTTGATAATGTCTGAAACGTAACATCTTGAAAATCTACAACCTGTGCCAAGGAAAAGGCAAGGTAACACTCTTCTCTGATTGAAGCTTTTCATATTCTTTCCCTTTTCAATCTAGATAGCCAATACAACTTGCACATTTACCACATCTGGGGTTATGTAGCTACTAGGATCCCCCACTTCATACAGAAGTTGCTCGGCACACGTGCTGGGATTCAGAATCCCACCACTGTTTTCTGCCTTTTCTACACATACTCGCCCATCAAAACTGACTTCCACAAAAGGAAGAGACAAATCGAGGAGATCTTGTAAAGATATATCACGGTATTTATCTCCTACAGTGACGAAGGTACAGTCAGCAAGTTACACGTGAAGTGACAAATAGAAACAACGGCAGAGTAAGAAAAACCAGAACATAAAGTAAGGCAAGCCAAAGGTTAATACTAAATAAAGAGGGAGTGAAGTCTTTTTCAAGATTATGGTTCAATGGGTATATTCAGAATCATTGAGATACATAGAGAAAAATAAAGTTCTCAAAGTGCATTTTATTGGAGCTAGTGGAAGGTAATCCCTCCAACCCTCAAAAACACCACAATATACACGCATCACGCTCCCTCCTATAAAGCACAACCCAGAAATATTGCATGATATTGCAAATGAAAGGCTCACCTGGATGCATATAGTATCCTCCAGTAAGTTGACAACCACATTCTAGCAGGTGGCCAGCCAGTGAACCTTGGGCAAGTAGTTGCAACTCATCCCAATTCCAACCGAGCTCATATACCTGATTATAATAGGGACCTTTAGATATACTTCTAAAGAAAGATGTAACTTATTTCAGTATTATTATATCAGAATAATTTTGTATTAGTATTGAAGAACTGGTGCAACAACTCTAGGAACTACCCCATAAACATTGACACAAAAGTATAACAAGAATAACAACAACAAACCCAGTGTAATCCCCACAAGTTGGGTTTGGAGAGGGCAGTATGTACGCAGACCTTACCCCTACCTTCAAGAGGCTGTTTCCGGAAGACCTCGGCTTAAGATAGGTATAACTAAAAAATAAATCCGGTTGCCTTCAGACCCAAAATGATCCAAGGCAGTCTCTAGGAGGAAAGCCTTTCGCCTAACTGTTAATCTACTCCAGTTGGCGATTTTGCTCACACGCCACATTTGGTTGCAGTAAGCTTGTTATTTTTCCTATCAAGCCTCAATACAACTGAAAACTCAAATTTCAGTTGGATCTTCAAGATTCATTAATTGATTAAAACACCACCAAAAGGCAAGCTTTCTGCCTGGTTTTCAACTCTGATTATCTTTCACACCAACCCCAAAAAAAAATAAAAGAATTATTCCAACATATCCAGTCTATTACAGTTTAAGACCGACAGCAGGAAGAGATATGTAAAGAAGCCATGCCCCTGAGAACGTGAATTTGAAGACCTCACAGGCTTCTGCTTCTTTCACTTACAAGATAGCTTTGAATCATTTCGACCATTAAGTGGTGACAAGAAGGCAGTTTCCACCTTATACCCTCAGGTTGCAGCTAATTTCATATAAAGCTGAAGAATGCCCGTTCCTTCTAACACTCATAAACCAGTGGAAAGTTGCAGGTGTCTAAGTGTCTGTTTTCATTCTAAGCTCTAGGATGCGTCCATCATAATCATAGATATACTTCGACAAGCCAAACAAAAATTGAAAGGGAAAAGCTAACTTTGTTGTACGCGAATTTGACTTCTTAAACAAATTTCAATGGTTTTTGATAATATCAGTTTGCAGTTGCTTAAGATGCGGAAAGTTGAGTGGATTTTCATAGTTATTGCTCTTAGAAATGAAGTGACCATAAATTATGCTGTGAAAGGATTATATTTGGTACAAGAGGTCAGCAAGCACTTTAACAAGTGAAAAGATATATGTGACAACAAGGGAAATTGGAAATGAAAAAGGAATCTACTGTCGTACCATTGGGGCCAAAAATAAGGAAGCATCAGCAACTCGAGAAGTAATAATGACATTTGGTCTGAATTTCTGAAGACATTCAACGATAGGAGCTGCTCCTAGATACACACTAACATCCTGCAGAAAAAGCAAATAAAAGGGATGCTACTATAATCGTAATACTTATATAATCAAGGATCTGCAGAGCAGGGAAGAAATGATCACTCTATTAAGATTTAGCATATAAACCCACCTAGAGTCATCAGAAAAATAAGAAAAACGACCTACATAGTACAATTTTTGTCCTTGATGGAATAAATGATGCTGACTTATACCACTGAAAATACTGTATATTACCAAAATCTTACATCAACATGTCTAAGGTGCTCCTCCAAATCTGAATGTATCCCAAAAGAAATCTATAAGTATGACATGATTTTTCTGCTTAAAGGAAGAATGAGGAAATCGAAAGAAATTTGCAAAAGCAATTAGTACATCAGTTTATTTTCATCTGTAATATTCGAACTACACCTGATCTGACAACAGCAACTTGATGAGCCACACCAACAGTTATGGAAATACCCAGTCCACTTGCAAGTTGTAAGACTTCATCCCGGGCACCAAACGGATCATCTATTCCCCATATTGTCAAAGAGAAAATATTTATTCTCTGGCAAATACAGAGGCAATTTCTACACAAAAACAAAAAAGAGCAAGAAAGACAGAGGAAGGAAATTTAGGAATATCACATACTCGCACCCATGTTTGTAATAATGCAAACTCCAGTCTCGACAGCCAAAGGTAAGAGCAGTTCCATCCACTCTGAGACTGTATCAATGTTTGTAGTTATCACCAAATAGGCAAGTTATCACATTTCTAGCATACTGATGAATAGACAAACCACACACAGGTACTTGAGATGCATATTTGTAATGACACAAAACAAACTACAGTATGTGATAAGAAAAACGTACTACGGGGATCATAGCCCTTGCCGCCAGACTTCATCGCCTGATAGCGCTCAGCAAGGGTGCGCTCGGCTAGGCATTCCAGCACTAAATAATCCAACTCTTTCACCCTCTGAAATAGTTTTAAAGCTGCTATTGGTCGATCACCTCCAAACCCAGCACCACAACCTATGTAAACCTTTTCCTTTCGCCTTTGAGGATTCACTCTCTGCAATATCACGAAGTATTTTACATGTCCTTAGTTTCCTTTTCCATTTTCTCTTTCTCAATGATGTGTGTAGTATTAAAAAAGCTAACCAGTATGATCTCACAGTCATAAATTTCAGGTATGTCACCGCCTAGTTCTTCCATTGGAACCTGATAATTACAACACGATGATCAAGCACTAAAAAAGGATCTTGCTATTAAAAAATTAGCGACGAAAAAGAAGTGTTCATAGTGAGGTGCAAATCTTATTCATATAAACAACTACATGAAATAGGCAACTTCAATCAAATGAAATTGTTCTAACTACCCCTTTCAATGGTTCAATCAATTCCTTCAGCTTAACACTGCTGCTAAAGATCTTTTGATTTGCTATTCACTTCATATTGAAGCCGAAGTTGTTAAAAGGAGTAACTTTAATCACATCTTTTCTGTAAACCATCTAGTTCAACTACTACTTGGGATCATCTATACAATTTTATGGATTTCATCCAAAAAAACATGCAAACATACTGATATCAAAAGAACAGAAAAGAAAAAGAAATCTTTCTTAACTACACAGTAATTAATGCACAAAGGAAGTGGCATACAAGAACAGAGATGCAACATAAACAAGAATTCAATGAGAAAAATATTAGGGAATCTTGAAATTACAAACCCAGATTGAAGAAGATGCTGAGTTGGTAGAATTTTGTCTCTGAGGGATAACTGTTGCAGTCGTGGCAACGCATATCGTAAAGTTTGTAGGACCAGTTTAATAATTGTACTATGCCCGAGGGAGTAAAATAAAAAATTCAAGGAAAATTGCAGAAATAACATGTGTTAGGCTAATAAATAGAAAAACTAAAAGAAATACAAAATATTAAAATGAAATAGTTTAAACTTAACAAGAAAGATTGGTGATCCAAAGAACAATACAATTTTTTAAAAATGAATATTATACCATAGCCAATAAGAAGCAATGTTAAACTTGATTTTAAATTGCTTAGAAAATCTAAAACAAAATCAATGTTAAATCATAACCCATGAAAAGTTTAAGAATTTTCAATTTCTTATTATTATCTCTAGATGTATGTTCTTAATTATTTAAAATTGCTTTGGAGTTGAACTGTGTCCTACGGGAGCAAATTTCTTTCGGCTATATTAAGTGCCCGTAAAAATTTGTTTCTTTCCTTTTTAATTTCTATTGCTTTTCTAGTATAAAGGCGTAGACATGCCTCCAGTAGCCATTTAAAGGGCAGCTATATTTCTAATCAGCGCGTATTTTAATTTTTTAGTTTAAATTTTTAGGACAAAAATATCTTAAGTTATCCTAAAATAAAAATTTATAGTTTAAAATTTCAGAATAAAATAAGTACCGACTAATCTCTAAATAGCATCCATGAGAATGACTATCTGTGCACTTGCCCCTATAAAGGCCGAGCTAGAAGTCCATATACTACCACTATATTGAGCGATTTGCAGCCGTACCCTATTTTTATGCCACCTTTTAACCTATACCCTATTTTTAAAAACTATTGATTTCCTAACCAACTAACAAAATATCCGTATTAATATGACCATTATACCCCTTCCAAAACATATAAAAGATGCATCAACCATACCCAGATTCAAATTCCAGAGCCGTATCTCCTCCATCACTCCGTCTCTCCTGAGATCGCCTATTGCAAACCAGATTTGAACCAGATTCAAATTCAAAATTACAAAATACATTGTAAGTATTCAAAATTTGTTTCACGAACTTCACTGATATGCTGAATTTGCATTCTAAATCTGTTTGACGTTCACTTCTAACATTCTAATCCGACAAATATGCTGAAATTGTTGGTTTATTTGCTAAACAAGCTAAAGTACGAGTTATATGAGTGTTATCATTGTTTATTTGCTAAACAAGCTGAAGTTATTTAGTTCATATTTAAAAAATTCAGCAAAACGAGCTGAAGTTTTCCTCCTACACTGGTTAAATATTAAACATAAATTAAAATTTCATATTGCAAAAAAAACTTAAGCATTAGTTGCTGAAGATTTTTACGTAATCTGTAAAAACTTCAGCAATATGAGCTGATGAAGTTTTCCTCCTACGCTAGGTAAAAAAAAACATAAATTAAAATTACATATTGCACAAAAAACTTCAGCATAGGTGCTGAAGTTTTTTAGTTAATATTTAAAACTTCAGCAGGAAGAGCTGAAGTTTTTCAGTTAATCTTTAAATACTTAAGCAAGAAGAGCTGAAGTTAATCATTTCCTCTGCTATTTTTCGATTTTGAATAGAATTAATATTAAAAAAAAATGCACAAAAAACTTATAACAAAAACTGAATATTTCATTAAACATTAAAAGGATAAATTAACATAAATAACAAAATAACAAAAATAACAAAAAGAAAAACTAATTGTCCATATTATCATCGTCATCGTCATCGTCATCGTCGTCGTCGTCAACACTACCAGATGGACGAGCATCTTCATCAGCAAGATTATCAAATCTTGCATACATCACAAGCGTATCAAGCTTGTTGTTGATTTCTTCGAGCTCCCTGTCGTACTTGTCTATGAGCTCATCCAGTTTCACCTCAAAGGCCTCCATAATGTCTTGCTTGATTTCTTCCACTATTTGCCTGATCACAGCATCCATTTTTCTACTTTTTGTATTTTATGTCTGCTAAAATATATGTGTTTGAGTGAATAAACTCTCAAAGTATAGCGTGCTTTTATAGGGGAAAATAACCTCTGCATGGTATATTAAAAGGCAAAGAGGAATTTTAAACATTGTCTAAAGAAAAGCATGCATGAATGTGATAGGAATGTAATTATTACACTAACACATACCCCCAACGGAATATAATTACTACTTTAATTGTCTTTATTATGTTCACTCCCGTGTACTATGCAATTAACGTGCTCAAGTTTGTTGAATTCATTTTCTAAAACTTCAGCTCAATGTGCTGAAGTTATTTAGTTCATTTCTAAAAACTTCAGCACTTGATAAGCTAAAGTTTTTCTCCTGCACTCGATAGTTTTTGTCCTAAAGCTTTTTCAAATAACTTCAGCTCAATGTGCTGAAGTTATTTAGTTCATTTCTAAAAACTTCAGCACTTGATAAGCTGAAGTTTTTCTCCTGGACTCGATAGTTTTTGTCCTAAAGCTTTTTCAAATAACTTCAGCTCAACGTGCTGAAGTTATTTAGTTCATTTCTAAAAACTTCAGCACTTGATAAGCTGAAGTTTTTGTCCTAGACTCGATTTGTCGTAAAGCTTTTGTTTATTTAGTGTATTTAGTGATGAGCTGAAGTTTTTGTCCTACATTTGACACTTTTGTTATGACTTTTAACCAAAACTACAGTCTACGGGATGAATCCAATTTGCATTGTTATAACTTTCAATTGGGAGTTGGACTCCTGATTTCAAATACTTGGATCATGATACAAAACTTGTTCTACTTAATAAGCACATATTATTCAATAGTTTCCTAAAGAAAATTAGTGAAGTTGCAAATATTGATTCAACCAGATATGTACTAAAAGTATCGTTTGATATCAAACTAAATACAAGCAAAGGAATGCTTGTAACTTCTGATGAAGAACTCAGTACGTGTATACATTTGCTTACAACTGATTCAGCCTACAAGAATTGCCATTTCGTCATCGAAAAATACAACCTTCAGAATCTGCAGCATTCAACCAATCTCTTGCATATGCGATAGATTCAGAACCTGAGGCTAACTATCAACATGAAGTACGACAACCAATAATGGAAGTAGACAACGGGCAACAACCTTCTAACATTATAGCTGCTTCAGAATATATAGTGCTGCCACAATTACCCCCTCCTCCAATAAATTCATACCAGTTTGTCGATGACCAAGAAGAAGAAGGACAGCTAATAATGCAAATTAACAACCAACACACAATCTAACAAAACTTTTTGTTACCTTCTGCAATGATAAGCAACAACGAAGATGAAGTAAACATGGAGCTTATACCGAATCAGATAGAATTGAAGAAATTGCTGAAAGTTCTTGTGCTTCTCAAAAATCAAGAAAAAGAGTGAGGAGAAAGGTGAAAGAATCTCCACCATGTAAATACTTAGGCACGATGTGTTGCCTGAGGAAGTAAGAGTTGGATCAATCTTTGAGAACAAACAAAACATGACTAAATTTTTTTGCAGCTTGGAGATAAACCAGAAAGTTGAATTCACTGCTGTTAGATCATGTTCCAAGAGATATGAGCTGAAATGCATCGTGGACAAATGTGGTTGGAATGTACGTGCTACCAGAATAAAAAATTCCACAGTGTTCAGGGTGATAAAATATCATAACATCCATGAATGCTCGGTTGATGCAAGAAAATTAGATCAGAAGCATGCTACATCAAATTTTATAAGTGAACAAATTATAGAACATGTTCGAGACAAAAAGATATAGGTTACATCAGCCTTTGTAGAAAATGAAATGAAAAAGAAATTTGGAATTGACATTGGTTATCACAAGGCATGGCGTGCTATTCAAAAAGTTGTTGCTTGCATAAGGAGAACACCTGAAGAGAACTACCAGATTCTTCCTTCATACCTACACATGATGGTGGCCAAAAACCCAGGAACGTATACAAGCATAAAAAGAGATGCGCAGAATAGGTAAGCAAAACAATACTAACCATCAGCCTGAAGTTTCAATTGTTCCTATTTGAAAAACTTCACACCTTATGATTTGTTTTTTTGTGTTTCACTGTACAGATTTGCTTACATGTTCTTTGCTCCTGCGGCATCAGTATCTGGTTGGTCCTACTGTAGACCCGTTATTGCAGTAGATGCAACGTTTTTAAAGTCCAAATATCGTGGTGTTCTATTTGTTGCTGTATCAAAGGATGCAAACAATCAAATCTTTCCTCTATGTTTTGGTGTAGCAGAATCAGAAAACAATGAGGCATACATTTGGTTCTTCGGGGAAATGAGAAAAGCAATTCAAGTCCGTCGTGAACTAGTTTTCTTGTCAGATAAAAACCAATCGATCGCAAATAGGATTAGAAAAGTTTTTCCTGAAGCTCACCATGGTATCTGCCTCTATCACTTTGAGAAAAATTTAAAGCAAAGACATGCAAAAGCCACAGTAATAAATCTTTTTCAAGTGCCGCAATGTCATACAAACGTGAAGATTTTAATCAGTTAATGTCCCAACTCAAAAGTATTGACAAGAAAATATACAATTACTGTCACGACCCATTTTCCATAATAGGTCATGATAGCGCCCGACACCATTTGTCAGGCCAGCCAACGCGGAAGTATAATTAAATTCTCATTTTACCCTTACCAAAAAAAACCATTATAATAGATTTTTCCCCCAATTAAAGTCATAAACCAGTAAAGATCAATAAAATGTAAAGACAGTTATACAACCCGAAATAACGTTACTACTGTGTGTGCCAGAACCTGGTGTCACAAGCTATGGGCAACTAGTAGAATATACACAAAATGAATAATGTCCTATCCTACTGTCTGAATCAGGATAGACAGAAACAACAAAAAAAATACAAGGAAGACTCCCCCGGCTGCGGATCGGCAAGAAGGGAGTGCAGCTCACCGTAGAAGTCC